TCATCATCATCATCATCATCATCATCATCATCATCATCATCATCATCGTCACTATCATCATCATCAGCATCACGTGTCATCCAGGTGTCATCCGAGTTAAAAGTGTCCCTTTGCACTGCTCCAAATTACTTCCTGAGAATTCATAAAAGAGCTTTGCCTACTATTAACATTTTCATCTACCTCTCTTTAGGCAGGTGCAGGGGTTACTCATCTACACAAAGGCATGAATGCTGACGACAATTTCCTGGCCAATCCAATTGGCCTCCTGGGCTCGATGCCACGGAACATCTGTGGGGGTTGTCACGCACCAATCGATGAGCGGGTGTTCTTGGCTGTCGACAACCAACTCTGGCACGCCGCGTGTTTGCGCTGCGATACATGCCGCAGTGACCTTCAGTGGGACCAATCATGCTTCATTTACAAAGGTCGCGTTCTCTGCCGCGCTGACTACCAAAGGTTAGCCTTGAATATTCATTTTTCTTTTTGAAGAAAAAGAACGTCTTTTTATTCCAATTAAAATTTCCTAGGATGCTTGTTTTCTTATTCATTTTTCTTCTTGCAAAAGTAAAACCCAGCCAAAAAGGTCACATTACGAAACAAAGTACCTACAGGAAAGGAGTAAAAAGCTGATAATGACTAGGATCGTTGTTGAATAGCGTCCAGGAGCTGATTCATTCAAATAGATTTATTATGCACGATCATGGCACCTCGTGGAGCCAAATTAAGTTCTAAAGAATATCAGTAGCCTAAGTAAGACACGATGATGAGAACTCCCGCTCAGTAGTGCAGATAAGCTTTCGCTAAATTCCAGGAAGCGTACCTACTCCCACGTTTGATTCCTATACCCGACATTAGTCCCTAACCAAATAATAACATTAAACTTAACCCTTACATCAAACTTACCCTTAATCCTAGCCCTCATTTTAATCATAATCTCAGTGGAATTTAAAGTAAGATTACTTTTTTTCGTAGGGTTTGTATTTGTATAAAGCTGTACAGCACACTCTCTGTTGTTTCAATATATTTGCCAACCGGACGCAAAAATAGCTCAGATTACACCTCCACCTCCCATCTCTTTGACAGCCTTTTCATATGCCCCGGTTGTGATCGGAGACTCTCCGGGGATGATCTGGTCTTCCGGCTAGCCCAGACGATTGTCTACCACTCGGAGTGTCTCCGTTGCCACACCTGCGGAGAGGTCTTGCACCTAGGCGACACCTACGTCCTGCTAGGGGGACGGAACGTGATCTGTGCAAAGCACACAACGGAACCAGTGCCGACAACAAATGGCAAAGTAGTGCACAAGATCTGTGACGAGGTAGCGTACGCCAATCAAAAGTCGACTGTTATGCCAACAAAACGTGGTACGCAGGGGGCCCGCAAGGTTAAGAAGCCCACAAAAAGGTCGTCAAAGAAAACCCAATTGGATAAGCAGTTCAATCAGATCTCCGTCCCTCCTCTACCTTGTCTTCAACAGCATCTACCACAACTACAGGAAGTAGCAAGCTGCACAGATGCCAATGACGATCTCACTGCGCACTCCACTTCAGCCTCAGATCTCCCCGGTAGGCCCCGAAAGTAACCACATTTGTTCAAATACACACCACTTAATGATTGTTAGTAACACAGTAATTTTAACTTTATTTATATACAGTGGAGAATAGCAGATTGTTTGATCTGGTTGGAAAAGCAGACAAGTCAAAAGAGGCAAGAAGTTCGAGAATTCGGAATGCTGCAATTAATGGAAAAATTCTATGCAAAAAACGGATCCGAACTTCCTTCAAGCACAACCAACTACAAGCGATGAAGGCATACTTTGAGCTTAACCAAAATCCAAATTCAAAAGACCTGCGGGAGCTCTCAGATGAAACCGGCCTTAACAAGCGTGTTTTGCAGGTAAGCAAGAAGTGCGCTTATCGTGACGATGGGATTCAGAAAAATGTATGCAAATACTCCTGTAATAGAGTTAATGGAGGCAAATGGCTTTTTGCGGTTGATGTATACGAAATTGACAACTAGCTGTTTTCCGTAAACAAAATAATAAAAAGAAGGCACTAACACCATTAAGTTGTCTAAATACACAAACAGGACATCTAACTTCGAGCATGCGACTTCGAATTTTGGAAATTCGGCGCTGTGAACGGACGGAAGCTGGATTAATAGTTAGATATTCCAGGCGAACTGAAGCCCAGCCCGCGATGACCACTCATATTAGAGGTTAAGTTGTGAATACGACTCTCGCGATAGTTGCGACTGATGATGGAATTGTGGTTGAGAACCCTGGTAATCTGATTCCTAAACCCAGATCTATGTCTAAAGCCTAAACCCAACCCTAACGCATAATACTTACCCTTGCCCTAGGGATAACCCCACCCTCGGACCCTGATCCCATTTTATAAAACGTAATCCTTAGCCGAACGCCAAACGTAACGACAACACTTGAGGAATGCGCTACCAAGAATGAGCGGAAGGGAAGGATACTCAACTACTCCTAACCAAGTGAAATAAGCAGGCGGTTCGTTGAAGTAAAGATTAACTGAGGCCACATATTCCACTCTTACTATCAATATTAACACACCAATATAATTTTAAAGGTTCGTAGCATCTAAGCCGTGATTATTTTTAGAGCACTACAATAGTCAGATCGAATCCCATGTTACTGGTAAAAGACAGAAGTCATCAAATTGAGGACTCTATTGTGCGCAGAACCCTGAGTTGCCGTCTCAGGCAGCAGTGGTCACTGGCGACGACAGGGCTGATGTTAACTGCGTCCAGTCACGCCAGTCCAGTCACTATATGTATTGGAGAGAGAAAGAGATGACAGTTTACGAAGGGGACCGGTGATCTGAGATGGGATGTCTTTGTTGCCTGTGATAACTATTCAAACCAGTTTGCTCCCCTAGGCGCTCCGTTGAGAAGAAACCCCGTCGCAGGACGGAAGGAATGATACAATAAACTACTGGTATCTTTTCGGGAACATAAATTAGGCTGACGCCAGACAAAAATAACTAAGGCCGCAC